GGGGGGGGGGGGGGAGTATGGATCCAAGGTTGGGGTGCGTGGCTGTGTGAGGCCAGTCTCTGTGTGATGGGGCAACTGGGCGGCTTCCCGGGCCTGCCCGCTCCGTTTTCCAGGGTGGGGGGGTGGCCTGTGGGACAGGCAGCAGAGCGCCAGGGTGGCAGCCTAGCGACAGAGGAGCCAGGAGCGGCTGTTCCCGAGGCAGCCGGCAGGGGGCAGCCTCTGCCAACGACCCAGGCACCAGCCAGCTTACCTGTGTCCAGCTTGAGGCCACCAGGAAGCCTCCCGGAGGCGCAGCCTGCCCCCCACCCCCCAGGCCAACCTCGCTCCCATCAGCACCGTGAGGATGTTGTCCTGCCTGGCAGGCAGTGGCCGCAGCCCTGCTGACCAGGCAGGCGGGGCAGGCTGAGTATACAAACCGGGGGCTGACAGCTGGCCACCAACACCGGGCCTTCCGGTGCCTTCCGGCTGTGGTCTGGGGCCTTAGAGTATCCCTCGGTGGGAGCTGGGCTGAAGCGTGGCCCAGGTTCCCGGATGCGGCCTCGGCACCTGCGCTGTACCTCCCTCAGTCGGGGGAGGCGCCCAGGTGGGGACGGGAGTGAGGGGCTGCCCACAAGCTTAGCTGGGCTGGGGGTGTGTCCCTTGCCCTGCCCCTGATGGCCTCTGGCCCCCTCCTGAAATGAGAGCTGCCCCTGAGGACGGAGCGTGGCCTCCACTGGGAATATTCAGCAGAATGTGCTGTGTGCAGGGAGGTGATGGGAGGTGGCACCCTAGAACGTTCCAGCAAAGCGGAGACCCCGCAGGGGAATAAGGCCGTTTCCTAAGGTCGGGCACGCACCCCTCCCGACTCTGTGCTTCTGTCATCCCCTGCGGCCCCCTGAGCCGCCTCGTCTGCAGCGCGGAGAGAGGGGTCCTCGCTGCCCTAGCAAGCGGACAACCACATCACACTTTGCTTAGGAGTCGAACCACCCAGGCAGCAGGAGATGGAAAAGCCTGTGTCACGTCTGAGTGGCCTGAGCCCTCTGAATCGAGGGTGGGGCAGGGTGGTGGTGGTGGTAAGGACCCTTTCCTGCTTCCCCTCCTCCCTCCTGGGCCACTCCTTCTAGAAGGTGCATGCAGGCAAGAGCAGAAGCCCCCAGGCCCCACGTGGCTGGATTTGAACGTGGCCTTCCTGGCTTCCCCAGAGCGAGCTGGACTACACGGGGCCCTGGTCTAGTTGGCACCGTGGCCTGCCTGGCCTGGGATCCTCTGCTGACCCCGGTGGTCTCCAAGGGGCCCTGAGAGCAGTCACTGCCCGGGCTCAGGAAGAACGGCCGGTCCCCGAGACCCCAGGGCTGACCTCTTGCATCAGGGCACTGGAGGCGTAGGTGGCAGCGGTGGTCTGCCCCAAGGCCCAGCCCCGAGCGGCCCAAGGAGGCCGCTTTCCCTTTAAGGGCCAGCCAAGTGCCCCCGCCCCAACCGGAAGGCCGCGGGGAAGCGCCAGGATACCAACCCTTCCTGTAGATCTCTGCATTGGCTTCGGCCTCGGTCAGGGCCTGTGGCAGCATCCTCAACCAGCAGGGTTCATCCTCCAGCAGCAGGGTCAGGGCAGGGCCCTGGGGGGGGGTGGGGTGGGGGAGGAGGCTCATCAGGGACAGCACAGGAAGGGCCTGGGTGGGGGTCCCGTGTGGCACAGGGGGAAAAGCCTGAGACCAGCGGGGTGGCCAGGCCACAGCCTGCTGCTCTGTGGTCAGCACTGTGTTGCCAACAGACGCAGCAGGGAGCTGGCACTTTCCGTGCAGGGGGCACTGGGTTCTCGGGAACCGAGGCCCAGAGAGGTCGGGCCACTTGCTCAAGGTCACACAGCCAGGGAGCTGCAGAATAGGAACCCACACCCAGATCTGTGTTCTCTCCCTGCCTCCCTACCAAGGCAGGTCGCTGAGGGCCAGGGGCAGTCCATGGGGTGTGTGGGCCAGAACGGGCCCCCACGTGGCCTGTCAGCCCAGAAGCAGGCAGTTCTCTTCTCCCACCTCGAGAAGAGGGGCGAGGGGCAAGGAAAATGGGGCATGGCTCCTGCAAGTGCCACCTCGCCCGGCCATGCCCTCTCCCCGGCTCGGTCTGCGGGCTGGGCCGCTGCAGCACCTGGAAGGAAGGAGGGCTGTGGGCTCAGCCCAGGGGGCCGCCTCTGTGGGGCCGCCCTGCACCGTCCCGGCCCTGGAGCAGGTACATGGCCCGGGGCGGGGCGGGGTGGGGGAAGGGGGCGGCCCCTGGTGCCAGGATGCAGAGGCTGGGCACGGATGGTGGGGGGCCGGTTCTGCCCTGCGAGGTTGGGGTGGCTGTTGCCACACCCAGGGCTTCAGCCCCAGGGCCGCACCCCCTCTGGGCTGCTCTGACCGGGGCCCCCACACTCAGCCAGCAGCACTGCGTGACGTTTGGGTATTTTTGTTGTATGCGAATAAGTGCCTTGCATTCAAAAATGGGTGCATCGGGACCTTTAACTGAAGAACCTGTATCACATGCTGTCACCTGGAAATGTTGCCACCTAGACCAGGGTGGCCGTGTGCACCCCAGGCGGACACAGCAGGCGGCTGAGATGCTGCCTCTGTGTCGCGCTAGCCATGGCCTCGGAGGTATCCTGTGGCAGACCGTGGGCCCCTCCCTGCCCGGGGACGACACAGGCTCCAGAGCCGAGTGTCGGGGTCCAGGCCGGGCCTCCCCCGCTGTGACCGTGGGCCCGGTAACACCCTGGAACCCGAGGAGGTCCCTCTGACCGCTCTGCCCTCTCATCCCCACCCTGTGGCAGGCTCAGGGACCCGGCGACATCAGGCCTCTGAGCCAAGCACACCTCCCGAGGCCAGGCACCTTGGCCGGTGGAGTAGCTCTGTGGCTTGGCCACGGAAAGGGCCGGTGGAGACTAGCAGCCGGACCTGGCCTGCACCTTTGCCCGCCCCCTCTGCCAACGGGTGATGTCCCTTCTGCTCGGAGCTGTGACTCAAACCACGTGTGTGCTCCAGACCCGGCCCGGTCCTGCCACCTACTCTCGGGGTTGGGGGGCGGGTGGCCGAGTCTACCCTCTG